TTTCATGTCATTGGTTTTAGTTTACTATAGGTTTGGATGCTTTTCTATTTGCGTGTTCAAAAGATATTCAAAATAATTTTTCCTTCTAACCTCTTTTCCACTTTTTTTATACTTCTAGGCTAAGATGGGGAGATAAATTGTGGAAGAGAACTATAATCATCGTCGCTATCAAAAGCATAAACAAGTATTCTTGCGAACATAAGAAAAAGAAAAACATGCTTATATCGATCATTCCAGAATTAGAGATATAGAAAATGTGCTTTGACTTGTATAATGTGGAGTGAGCATGCTTTGTTCTAATGGTCGGTCTTATATCGATCGATTGTTTTCTTGTGTTTGCTGTTCACTTGTATACAAAAGGGTTAAGAATGAAGTTGTTAAGAAATATCTGCACATGGTCAATTATGTATGCAGAAGATTAGAGATAAGTATGGGGAATATAAAATCTCTAGAATTGTCATGATAAGTTAGCTTAGGATAAGACTTAGAGATAATTCTAGAAAATGTTAGAGGATGAGTGGATAATGTTTAAAGATTAATCTAGATGAAACTAGAATTTAAGCTACCACTACTATAAATATGGGTGCTAGGTAGCATTTGTAACATCAACCAAGAGAAGTCCTAAGAACATACCACCAAAGAGTGTTCACTTTAAAAACTCTCTTGTAATAATCTTTCCTAATAATAAAATAGTTTGGCTTTGAAATTGTAGTTGTCTAATTCCCTTCTTAACCACACAAAAGAATATTGGGTAATTTTTCCAACAACTGATATCAAAGCTAGGTTTGTTTATAACATCAATATCTTGTGCGAATCAAGATGGAGGCTACCGTTACCATTGAAGGTGACATGTTCAAACTCACGCGGACAACTACTCGTATTGGAAACCGATGGTGGAAGATCACATTTATTGCATGGAATTGCATGAACCCATCATCAAGAAGACCAAGCTGGAAGGAAAGCATGATAAGGCATGGGAAGTCCTTAATCGAAAAGCGGTCGCTATAATTCGTAAGTGCATCGATCGATCTCTTTTCAAACATGTCGCTACCTACACAAATGCTTTTTAATTATGGACAAAACTTGAGTCTATGATTCAAAAGAAAACGCCTCAAAACAAGGCTCTTCTTGCTCGACGGTTGGTAAAGTTAGAGTATAAGGATGGCCAAAGCATGATGGAGCATTTAAAAAATTTCAAGGGGCTCATAAATCAGCTGAACAAGGTTGAGTTGAAGATCAAGTTGAGATGCAAGCCCTTCTACTTCTTAGCTCATTGCCAGAGAGTTGGGACACACTAGTTGTCACTCTCAGCAACTCAGCACCACATGGAAAACTTACCATGGATACCGACAGTGATAGTCTTCTAAATAAAGAAATTAAAAGGAAGGAACGAGGTTTGAACGCTCAATCGGAGGCGAATGTCATCGATAGACGGGGTAGAGACGAGTCACGTGGACACAACATAGGTCGAGGCCGAGATCAATGTCGAGGGTGCTCCAAATCACGCCCTAGAGTGACATGTTACTAATGTGGTAAGGCAGGTCATAGAAAGCCATAGTGTCGGTTTTTCAAGAAAGATCAACAAATGGGTAACATCAAACTAGATCGGTTTAACCGCACAAAGAGGTATGACGATAAGACCACCACTATTGTGGCAGATGAGGATGAAGATATATATATCGTTGGAGAATGTGATCCTCTAAATATCGCCTATGATGAGATTTCATGGATCATCGACTCTGGTGCTTCTTTTCACTTCACCCCTGGTGGAGACTTCTTCGCAACCTACCAAAGTGGTGACTTTGGTAATGTTCAAATGGGAAATCAAGGAAGAAGCAAGATTGTTGGAAAGGGGCTCGTCATTCTTACATCAAACATTGGATGTAAGATTATTCTCAAGGATGTAAGACATATCCCTGACATGCGTCTCAATCTCATATCATATGGAAAGCTCGATGATGTTAGTTTAGGAAATCACTTTGGTGAAGGCAAGTGGAAGCTAACAAAAGGAAAATTGGTCATGGCTCGAGGAAAGAAAGAAAGGTCATTGTATGTGACACAAGCTAAGCTATGCAAGGAGGAGGTAAACGTCGCAAAATGATGACTTATGGCACTGAAGCCTCGGCCATATGAGCGAGAAGGGTCTAAATATCCTTGCTCGAAAGAAATTCCTCCCTGAGATGAGAGGGATGTCTCTCGAACCATGTTCTAACTGCTTAGCTGGAAAACAACATAGAGTCACTTTCCAAAGATCTTCTGCACCTATGAGAAGAAAGCACATCCTTGACCTCGTGCATACTGATGTATGCTCAATGTTTGAGAAATCCAT